ACACTTTAAAGAGGTCTTTTGCAGCAGATTTGCTCAATGCAGTATGTATCTGTAGTTTCATTTCTTGACTTCTGTAAATATTTATTGTTGTTCCAAGTAGAATGAAATCATAAAAAAGACAAGGTTTATTGGTCAGACAGAGACTAGTGGTGCCCCCTAGACTATGACCTTTGATCACCCTTCAGGGCTGGAATCGTACTTACCCCTGTAGCTCAATTCTCAGCTAAGCAATAGGTAGGTATAGAGAGGACACCACCACCAGTGAGGTTTGTATGTGACAGAATGGGCAACCATTTGAGATCCAAAGGGCAACATTTACCCAAGGGCAGAATTCAGAAGGCTGGGAAAAAAGGAGCCATGAAAACAAGAATCCCAGGGAGAAAGTGGAAAACTTGATGTTACACTAAAGGAATTGGAGTCAGTGAAATGAAGCGAAGTGTATGATTTGAAATGTAAAACTCATTATCTGCTCTATAAAACTTCAATCAATTCACGCAAAGAAGTTTGTTGTTTTTTTTGAAAATAGGTGAGCCCAATATAGCCTTTAGAAAGCCAACCCCATGCCAGTGCTATAGGAGTCCCTGGGTGGTGCAAATGGTTAAGCGCCGAACTGTGAACCAGAAGGTTGATGGTTCAAATCCGCCCAGAGTCACCTTGCAAGACAGACCTTGGCTGCCAATCAGCTTCTGAAAGGCCACAGCTTTGAACACCCTCTGGACAGGTTCTAGTCAATGGTATGAACAACAGCGAGTGCTCACACCAGAGGTCAGATTTCTATGCTGTGTGTCCAGAGTCCCGGCTGCATCAGTGCAATACCCCACCTGAGCAGACTTCAGGAGCAGACGCCTGACGCCAGAGGGCTGTGTAAAGACAGAATCCTCAAGAAGCAGCTTGTCTCAGAGCACCAGGTGGCAAATTGGTCCAAAGCCCAATCTCAGACTCACCTTAAGTTTCTGGAATGTACAAACCACTGTGCCTTGGTTTATTTATTCATTTATTCATCCAGCCAAGAGAACATTTGAATTTCTACTGCTAGGTCCTGTGATAGAGGTTGGGGTACAAAGATAATTGAGGTAGAGCCAGAGTCGTAGTGGATGATAATGGTACAATGTGTATACAAAGCAGTATGGGGAAACAGAGGCAGGAGAGAGCGCCTTCCATCAAAAAGATGACACTTGATTAGTCTTGAGTAGGAATTAGTCATGTGGAGAGGGTGTACCATGCCTGAAAGTTGACCTAGCAATTCCACTTTTTTTTTTTTTTTTTTGATATCTGTCCTAGACAAACATATGCACAAGTTCAGAAAGTGGTACAAGGATGTTTGCATATAGTATTGCTTGCAGTAGAAAAAAATTGGAAACAATTGCCCAACAAGAGGGGGATGGTTGAATAACCTAAGGTTCATTCATTCTATGGATTACTACGCAGCAACTAAATAGAACAGGGCAGATAGAGATGTATTCTTACATAAATACTTCCAAGATGTCATTGAGTGGAAAAAGCCAAGTGTAGAACTTGCCAAGTATTCAGAAAGAATAGACCCCAAACTAATGTGTGTGATTATCTCTGGGGAGAGGTCTAGAGTTGATAAGGAAGGCTTTGTAACTAGCCAGAAGATTGGAGGTAGTTTTCATTGCAAGAACATTTACAATGAGAATGTATATATATGTAATCTGTGTTATTAAGATTAAGAGAAACAAAAATTTAGGGGCTTGTGAGTAGGTCATTGTGTCTAGAACAACACTGTCCAACAGAATTTTCTGCAATGATAAAAATGTTCTATAGTTGTGTTGTACAATACGGTAACCACTGGTCACATGTGTCTGCTGAGCATTTGCAATGCGGCTGTTGGTGCTAAGTGCCATCGAGTCAGTTCCGACCCATAGCGACCCTGTATAGGGTTTCTGAGGAGCAGTTGGTGAGCTTGAACTACCGACCTTGTGGTTCAAAATGACTTTGTGGTTCAGCGCATTTACCCACAGCGAGCGCCACACCAGGACTCCTGCAATGGGCTAGTGCATCTGAATAAGTGAATTGAAAATTTTTATTTCATTTAAAAAACTTTTTATTGTGATTTGTGTAAAAGTTTACAGAGCAAGTTGGTTTTCCATTCAACAACTCATATGCATTTTGTTTTCTGACAAAATTGATTGTAATCCGCCAATGTTATAGCACTCTCTCCACTTCCTCCCTGAGTTTGCTCTTTCCATTTCTCCTGCTATCCTATCCCATCCTGCCTTCTGATCATTCTCGGTGAGCAAATGCTGCCCTTTTCATCTCAAATGGTTGATTATTCTCAAAAGTAGGCAACATCACTTATCCCATTTCCTCCTTGTGTTTTCTGTTTCCAGTCTTCCTTTTTGAACCCTTTTGAAGTTTGCTGCCCTTTTGATCTCAAATGATTCATTGTTCTAAGGTGTGTATACTTCTCTAGAGTGATTGTTCCCCTTCTACCCTTTCTGGAGTCCTGGTCTGGAGCTGTAGGATAAACATTGGACTGCTAACCATAAGGCTGGTGGTTCAAACCCACCAGTTGCTCCTCAGAAGTCCTATATAGGGTCACTATGAGTCAGAACCAACTCAATGGCACTTAAGAACAACAGTATAGACCTGTCTATTGCTAAAAATTGAGTAATGGGGCTGAGTTCATTTCTAGATGGGAAGGGTGACCAAAGGCCATGGTCTGTCTCCAGGTTCCACCAATCTCTATTTGACTAGTAAGCCTGTCTTTTTTATGATTTTGAGTTTTGTTTCACTTTGTCTCCCACTCTATCCAGGACCTTCTAATGTAATCCCTTTCAGAGCAGTTGCAAGATATAGTTAGGTACCATCTACTTGACTTACTCTCAGGGTTGTGGAGACTGATATTCTAATTGTTTACAAGCATCTTCAATTTTGATCACTCTCTGCACAAGGAGAGACCAATAATTGCACCTTAGATGACCTCTCGTATAGGATGTAGGGCATTGTGTTTGTGGACTGTTATGTCGACTGACCATGATGTCCCCCAAGACTATGGAACTGAGTCCCCCTGTATCATGTTTGAAGGAGCCCATTTTGCTGTGGGTTTTTTCTCTCTATACTACCTTAGGGGCCATTAAGATCAGCTACAACATTTCTGCTTTCTGCTTCCAGATTTGAACCCAAAGAAAGCCAGATGTTTTCTACTCAGCATCCTCTTCTCTTAGTGATCCAATGAAGAGTGTTTTCTAAGTGTTTCTCTCCAGCCTGACTTCCCTTATTCTCCATCCTGCCGGCCACCTTTATTTTTAATGGAGTTTTAATAAGCGGTTCCTGTAATTAATTTCATTCTTGTGTTTTCACACTTTCTGTCTAGGTGCCTAAAGGCCTCCAGGCGCTAGGTGGGATGTTAACTGATTTTAAATAATACACAACACTATGACCATCATTAGCATTTCCCTGGCTGCTCTCTTGGCAGTTGTTTTACTGTTGTTAATTAGCTGGGGCGCTTGGCCCAGTATGAGGTTGGCCAGGTCACCTGTCATGTTTTATGGACGAGGTAGAAACAGATAGAGAAAGAAAGGACTTGTCCAAGCCCCAACAAAGTGGGTGTTGAAACTGGTTTCAGAAGCCACATCCTGCGGGGTACATACCCCGTAATGACCAAACTGAGATCCACTACTCAGGTGTGGTTTGCCACACAGGGCTACTCAGGCCAGAGGTCCCAGAGGGACAGAGGCATCCCTGACCCATAGCCATTTTAGGCATAGGCAGGCAGTTTCATCTATCCGCTAGGACTGCCTAGCAAGTCAGCCCGCTGAAACTAACATGACCACCTCAAATTCTCACTCACTCATCGCTGGTCCCCCTTGTACTCATCTGCACAGAGACGCACCAGTGATTCCTCCCAGATTTAGAAACAACATAATTTTGCTATTTTTAAAGCTGTCTGTTAACAATCTTAGAACACGGACTCACACTCCTCAGGGAGCTGGAGGGAGCGGGTGGGGAGGAAGAGTACGTGCTGGAGAGAGAACACCGCGGTCCCTAGGCGTCCCAGAGCGCGGTCGCCCCCCACCCCTTAGCAGGAGCCAATTTGCACAGCCCGCGACCCGCTGAGCACCCTTGGGCGACCGACCTCGCCGGCCCACCAGGCCCAGGAGGGAGCTGGAGGGTGGAGAGACAGAGCAGGTGGCGATTAGGTCAGCTTCGGAACATTCTTGGACCGCTCCAGTGGATATAAATAACAGACGAGCAGACTTGGAAAAATCCCGGGTGGGGGGAGAGGAGGTGAGGAAGAAGGGATTTATTTAGGGTGGGGTGCCATCGTGGTGATCTGGAAAAAGCTGCCAAGCCTGGTGACTGACAAAAAGTGGGTGGAGGGGAGACAGGATTTAAGAATGGATCGAGGTATAAAATCTGGGAAGAGCGTCGGGGAGGTGGGTGCAGCAGGGAAGGGACGAACTCACGCTTTTTGCCCTACCCCCACCTCGTGTGTGTCCAGGTCTCAGAATGCGCCCTAGATTGGCAGGGAGGGCTGTGCACAGAAATGGTATGGCTTAGGAGTCCCGGCACTTCACTTTCCCAATGGAGATCTTGGGGAAGCCTCTGAAGGGATCTGAGCTTCAGTTTCCACATCTATACAATGGGAATCATAGTTAGCTTGCCATATGGTGGTTGTGATTTCTTAGTCACACGAGTTAACGACTAAGAAACCTGTGCTTAGCGAAAAATATAAGGCAGGGTTTTCCCCAAACCCTTGGGGTGCTGGTAAAGACCCGGTCCCTCCTGGCGTCCACGAGGATTCCAGGCGCTGAAAAGGCCAGGACAGGGCAAAGTCGAAATCGGACTCCCGCAACCGCGCGGCGCCACCCTAGGGAGTCGGTCGTGCCGATTAGCACTCGGGAGCCAAGTCCGAAAGCCTGAGACCCCTCTGTGCCTCGGGCAGCGGTGATGCGATCAGCCCCTACACCCAGTCCGCCGGCTGGGGGGTGGGGGCCGCGCGGCGATGAGAGGGCGGGGCTGGGGGCGGGCTTCCCGGGGGAGGGCCCGGCGCGCTCCGGGAGGCAGCAGGCAGGGCCCGGGAGCGCTAGGACACCGGTCGGAGCGTGGCCAGACCCCCACCCGCTCAAGGCGCCTAGGGAGGACGCGGTAAGTGTGGCCCGGACAGGGGACGCGCAGGCGGCGGTGGCAGGAATCACGGCCCGAGCTGCCTTCTCCGGCCCCTGAAGTTGGCAGTGGGAACGACTCCAGGCAGGGAGCCTCGGGCCCCCCGGCTCGGAGCGGGACGGGAAGGGCTGCCAAGGAGCGCAGGGCGTCTCGTTCGCGGCACAGCAAACCCCACCAGTCTTCCAGTCGGCCTGGGATGGGGCGTCGGGGCTGGAGGGTTAAGCACGGGAGTTGGGGGCCGGTTTCTAGGGCTTCCGAAGGGACCTCGCTTCCCGGCATCCCCTCGCACCCCTCCAGCAGCCCTGGTTCTCGGGCCGCGCCCCAGGCCACCATCTGGAATCCCCGGCGGGGCCGGCCCAGGCCGGGGGCGCCCCCTCCTTTCCCCTCCCCCAGCGGTGACCGGCCGGCCCCACCCCCGCCGAGACCAAGTTCAACAAGTTTGGCCGAGAAGCCCGGAGCCTCCATGACGAGGCCTGGCCCGGCCGCTCCGCGTGGGCCCCGTCGGCTCCGAATAGCGTCGCGCGGGGCTGGCGGGGAGGGGCTGAAAGAGGGGCGCCGCCACCAGGGACTGAGGCCGGCGACTGGCAGCCAGTGGCCCCGAGGTTTGGCGTGGAGGTTTCGGCTTTGGAATGCGTCATAGGCGAGCAGGCACCTCAGCCGGCAGGTTGGGTTTCCTAAAGTGCCCCTTTGTTTTGCCCCTCCCCGGTCCTGCCTCCTCCCCTTTGCCATCGCCGCCCCCTCCCCCAGCCTCTCTGGCCACTCGGTCGGCGGGTTCCAGCCCCTCTAGCTTCATTGCCCTTCTCAGAGGCCACAGACTGCCCCCTCCCTGTGTCCTCAAATCCCAGGGCTCCGGGCTGGAAGGGAGGGGCTGCTGGGGGAAGAGGCCCTTGGGCGCAGCAGCCTCTGACTCAGGACGGAGGGATGGGCAGGGCAGGACAGGACGGCGGGCACCCTCCCAGAGGCATGCCCCCAGCTTCTGGAAAAAGGCCGGGACTGCCTGGGTGAGGGTACCTTAAGGTCTCAGGTAGGGAGGGGGTGTTCTTCCCTGAACCCCAAGACTTTCTACCTTAGTCCTGGCAGCTGTGGAGACACCCCTGCAAGCCCCCCCAAGACTTCTAACCAGTAGGTGCTAGCCCCCAATAATGGGAAGGTGTGTTTTGATCTGCTCTCTGAGTTTTTTGCCTGTGGTGGTGGTTACGTGCTGTGGAGTCGGTTCCAACTCATAGCGACTCTGTACAGGGTTTCCAAGGCTGTAAATCTTTATGGGAGCAGAAAGCCTCATCTTTCTCCCGGGGAACAGCTGAATAGTTTCGAACTGCTGACCTTGCGCTACGCTACCAGAGCTCCTTTGCCTGTGGTAGAGTGTATACTGGGGGGCCCATGTGGGGCCCCTGAAGTAGGCAGGAGACACAGGGTGCTGACCCTCCTTGGAGGAGGTGGTGTTGCTGGATCAGGTGGGGCTGGGAGGCCTGGCTGTGCCTGGGGCTGGGGCTTGTGTTTGCTCTCCAAGGCCGGAGGGAGCAATGCCAGCCCAGCACACACAGCTTGCTCTGTTCTGGGACCAGAGAGTGGGAACGGGTTGGGGGCAGCTCTCCCGGGAGCGGGTAGCATGGAGACTGAAGCCTGCAGGGGCCCAGTCCCTTGATGTCTGGCAGGGTCAGTTCCAGAGGGCCTGTGAGCCAGGCTGCAGTTCTGTATCTCTCCATCTGGTTGGCAAGTCCTGTGTGGGCAAGTGGGACAGACACAGATGAAGTCAGGTGGAGAGCTGGGGACGTTCCCTGCATCCTCCACTGGGGCTCTAGGGAGGCCTGAGGCCACCTTCCTGCCAGCAGGTGGGTAGAAGCACCATCAGGCCAAGCTTCTTCACAACTGCTCCAGCCAGCTAGCAGGATTTTTTTACTCGTCAGGTGGACTTCATTTGTTCAGGTGGACTTCATACATTCAACTGGCAATGACAGTTTCCCCAAATCCATTGCTATGAAACCGATTTCAGTTCATAAAGACCTTACAGGGAGAACTGCCCCATAGGGTTTCCAAGGCGGGACATCTCTACAGTGGAGTCCTGGTGTGGTACTGTAGGATCAGTTAGTGGTTTAAACCCACCAGCCACTCCTCAGAAATCCTATACAGAGTCTCTATGAGTCAGGACCAGCTCAGTAGCACTTAACAACAACAAATCTTTATGGAAGTACACAGTCACATCTTTCCCTTTGGAGCAGATGGTGGGTTCAAACCACTGATCGTTTGTTTGGCAGCCGAGTGCTTTAACCATTGCTCCACCAGGGTTCCTTTACTACTTCCAGTGCCTAGGAAAACACAAATCAGACTCCCGAGGGACTCTCTGTCAATGACTAGGGACAGATCCTGTCCTGTGAGTCACAATCCAATGGGATATGTGCTGTGACAGTGGGGTTACTTGGGCTATGGGAACAGAGAGGACAGAGGGGCAGAGGTACAGGCTGTGAGGAAGGTTCCTCAATTGGAGTTTTGATGAATGAATATGGGCTCTTCAGTTTGGAGTCGGGTTACTGTGACCGACCCCTACTTTGGGGACAGTAGGCACACACTGCCCTCCCAGGCTCGGCTGTGTCCCTTGGACCTTGGACTTGTTCAGAGGAAGGATTTTCCTTCTAGGGGCTGGGAGTTGTGCTGGACACAGCTGAGACTCTGCCTAGAGGCAGGAGGGGAGTAGCCCTGTGCCTCTGTGTCCCCTGGGCTCTGGGCCCGGTGTGGGTGACTTGGCTGTTGGAATTCACCTTGCCCTTCTTTGCAGTTCTGGAGAACATTGTTCTAACTGGCTGATCACCTGTCTGCCTCCCCCATCCGGCCTCTCTGTGGCTGCTTGAGGCTTGTTACCCCGGAGCCCTGCAGAATCTCAGTGAATGTTGTGGGGTTGGAGGAATGTCTTGGCTAGTCCCTCATATTTCTTGTTCACCTGGCTTGAACTTCACGCAAACCTTGGAATGGAAGCGGATCAGGTTGAGGGATTTCCATCTAGGAAGGTGCTGAGACAGTAAAATTCTCTTGTCCGAACTTCCTCCCTAAAGCAGGACCCCGGTCTCTCGGGCCCTGGCTCTTTCTGCTCTTCTGGCACAGAGAGCTGTTAGGATGTGTCTGTGTCCCCTCAGCCTTGCCTCAGTCTGGTAGCAGGGTCGTTTATCCTGCTGTTCAAGGAAAGGAGACAGGGCCTCCCAATGTGGGCACGAGCCCTCTTTATTCATCTGCAGTCTGGGGAGTGGGGACCTCTGCCCACAACCACCCCTGCCTGCCACCTAATGCCTGGCTGGATTGTGTGACCGGACTGGCATCCTCCGGTCTGGAATCTGGCGCTTCTCGACAGCAGCTGCTCTATCTGGGGAGCCAGGCACCGCCCTGGATGGCCAAGCCCCTGCCATCACCCTCTGCTTTGCTTCTGTCAGCTTACAGACATAGTCACAGTGGCAACTTGGAGAGTTGGACGCCCAAGGGACCCCCATAGTGATCTTTAGGCCCCAGGTACGTGTTGTTGGGAGGTGGGGAAGGGAAGGATAGGCCCTGGGCTAGAGAAAGCGTTTTGAAATTGCCATCCATTCCCCTATCCTGCTCCACCTGGGGACCTCTAGCCCCCTTGCCAAGTCCTGGCTCTGATAGTTCCTTGGCTTATGGGGATTATGATGCTGGGATGAGAGAGGGTCTGTTTCTATCCCCAAAAGCATATGCTCAGTTTCCCTCTCTGCCCCCTACAGCCTCAAATCTTCCACCATTCCGTGCTGCGGGGACACCATGGCTTCTGAGGAAGACGCTGGAGGGGAGGCCCTAGGGGGCAGTTTCTGGGAGGTGAGCAGCTGGGGCCAGGGGGCTGTGCTACTCTTTAGGCGGAGCCATCTCTCTAGGGTAAGGGCTAAATGTCAACCCACCAGAGGGCTTCTCCCCGGTGGTGATGCCTCTCTTGTATCTGTCCCAGGCTGGCAACTACAGACGTACAGTACAGCGGGTGGAGGATGGGCATCGGCTGTGTGGAGACCTGGTCAGTTGCTTTCAGGAGCGCGCCCGCATCGAAAAGGCCTATGCTCAGCAGCTGGCTGATTGGGCCCGCAAGTGGAGGGGTGCCGTGGAGAAGGGTGAGCCTGTGCCGGGTCTGGTGGGTGCAGAGGGTCACTGAGGGTGAGGATACCAGGGCAGCTTTTGTGGAAAGTTTGAGGCTTCACAAACCTCCTTCCCTTTAAAGAGGGAAGAGCCTTCTGGTTCTCCTCACCATTGTTTCTCCTAGTTTGTCAGGTACCTTCCTGAGTTACTCTGATATTTCTAACAATGCTGTGGGGTCTCTGGTGTGGCGCTGTGGGTTAATGTGCTGGACTGCAAAGGTGGCTTGAACCTCAAGGTTGGCGGATCAAGCTCATCAGCTGCTCCTTGGAAACCCTATACAGGGTCGCTATGGGTTGGAATCTACTCGAAGGCACTTAACAACAACAATGCTGTTGAGTCCCTGGGAGGTGCAAATGGTTAATGCGTTATGCTGCTGATTGAAAGATTGGAGATTTGAGTCTACCCCCAGGCACCCTGAAAGAAAGGCCTAGGAATTTATGGCCAAAAGAAGCAACCATTGAAACCTTAGGAAGCACAGTTCTACTCTGACACACATGGGGTCACTATGAGTCAAGATTGACAGAAAGGGAACATGTGGCACTGTAAGATAAGCACTGGACTGCTAACCATAAGGATAGTGCTTCAAACCTACCAGCTACTCTTCAGAAACCCCATATAAGGTTGCTATGAGTCGGAACTGACTCAACGACACTTAACACAACAGCATGGTGGAGCTGAGGAGACCTGCTGGTAGAGTGGTTAATGCACTCAGCTACTAACTGAAAGGTTGGTGGTTTGAACCCACCAGCTACTCCATGGGTGAAAAATGCGGCTGTGTACTTTTGTAAAGATTGAAGTCTTAGAACCCGTGTGGGGCAGTTCTCTGGTCTACAGGGTAGCTATGAGCCTAATCACCTCCATAGCAATAGCTCTTAGGGAGATGATCCTGTTCAGCCTATTTATAGAGGAAAAACCTGAAGCGCAAGGAGGTTAAGTGACTTGCCTAAGGTCAGGCAGCAGAGCCTGTGGCAAGTGGCCTGAGATCTTTGTGCTCTAACAAGCTGCCTTCCTGAAGGGTAGGCACTGGTTCTTTCCTCAGAGGTAGCAGTGTAGTGGTTTATGCACCAGACTTGGGTTTGAATCCGGTCTTCAAACTGGTTCTGCCCAGTCCAGTCATGGCCAGTGGAGTAAAACTGGAACAGACCTGAATTTGTGAAATGTGGATGAACTGGAACAATAACAGGAAGGGGGAAAATGATGAGTCAACACCCTGCTAGAAACTTAATTTCCCTCTTAGAAAACAAGGGTATTGCCTCTTGTCCTGCAGAGTCAGGAACCACAATGCCCCACTCAAAGATGGCGGCTAACTGTGGTGAGCATGTATCACTTCCCACAGTCCAGGCCATAGGCCAGTAACCCACATCAGCGTTAACCTAGGATTTTACCCATTCTGTTCTGGTTCCAGTTCATGGACTATGACTGAACCGGTTTGAAGCCTTGATTTGCGTCCCAGCTCCACTTGCGGCTGTCGGGCTACCAGTGAATTTCACTTCTCTGGGCCTCATTTTTTGTCCATTAAATGTTGATTATGACTGAGCGCATCTTAGTTGTTGGAAGCATTCTGTGAACACTCATATGTCAAGACTCAGAGTCAGCATTCAGTTAGCAGCAGTTCACGTCATTGCTATTCACCTGCATCCTCCCCCCGCCCCCCAGGTACCCAGAGTGTGAGCAACTGATGAGAGGGGTGAACACCTTTAGGGTGCTGCCCCTAGCCCGGCCCAACCCATCCATCTCTTTAGGTCCCCAGTATGGCACACTCGAGAAGGCCTGGCAGGCCTTCTTCACAGCGGCCGAGCGGTTGAGTGAGCTGCACCTGGAGGTACGGGAGAAGCTGCAGGGGCCGGACAGCGAGCAGATACGCACCTGGCAGCGGGGGGCCTTCCATAGGCCTGTACTGGGCGGCTTCCGAGAGAGTCGGGCTGCTGAGGACAGCTTCCGCAAGGCCCAGAAGCCCTGGCTCAAGCGGCTGAAGGAGGTAAGCTTGGGTGGGGCGAGCATCAGAGGAGGCCCCTTCCTGGTGGGCATGGGGCTAAAAGGGTTCAGGGAATGGCGTCCAGGGCCCAGAGTCATCCCCATGCCTGCCAGGTTGAGGCTTCAAAGAAGAGCTACCACACAGCCCGGAAGGATGAGAAGACAGCCCAGACTCGGGAGAGCCACTCCAAGGCAGACAGTGCTGTCTCCCAGGAGCAGCTGCGCAAACTTCAAGAGCGGGTGGAACGCTGCACCAAGGAGGCTGAGAAGGTATACTAAGTTGACTCAGGCCAGGCCCCACCCAGTTACCCCTGCCATCGGTTCGATTCTAACTCAGTGACCTTATAGGACAGAGCAGAGCTATTCCACAGGGTTTTCGAGGCTGTAAATCCTTATGGGAGCGGACGACCTCATTGTTCTCCTGTAGAGTGGTTGTTGAGCTCGAACCACCCACCTTTCCATTAGCACCCACACTTAACCCACTGTACCACCAGTGCTGTTTTTCCAATCCCTAGCATTTTTTTCATTTGGTTTTAAATGTTTGTTGTTGGATACCATTGAGTAAGGAGCTCTGGTAGGGGAATGGTTACGAGTTGGGCTGCTAAACTCAAAGTCAGCGCTTTGAAACTGTCAGCTGCTCCGGGGGATAACGATGAGGCTTTCTGCTTCCATAAAGATTTACAGCCTTGAAAATCCTACACAAGGCTGCTGTGAGACAGAACCAACTCCATAGCATACACCACCACCACCACCACCACCACCACCACTGGGTAGATTCTACCTCCCCGTAACCCCACGTGACTGAGTAGAACTGCTCTAAAGGGTTTTCTAGACTGTCATCCTTCCTGAAGCTAGGTCATTCATTGGCTTGCAGAACCGCTGGTTAAGCTTGTTCAAGTATTGACCTTTCAGTTAGCAGTGGAGTGCTTAACTGGAGACATGACCAAGGCTCCTTATTTAATTATTTTGAAATTTGACTTTATTTGCTGCTGTTATTGTTGGGAATATACACAGCAGGACATAAATCGATTCTACAGTTTCTACAGATACACTTCAGGGACACTGATTACACTCTTACTTTCCTTTCCTGACTGGTTCCTCCCCGATGAACATAAACTCACGGTTTCTTAAATTTCCTGTCTAATCCAGTTGCTGTTCTGGTGTGGTGCTGTGGGATAAAGCATGGAAAGGAAGGTCAGTTTGAACCACAAGGCTGGTGTTTCAAACTCATCAGCCGCTCCTTAAAAACCATGTATAGCGTCACTATGAGTCGGAACCAACTTGACGGCACTTAACAATAAACATAAACTCGCTGTCTCTTAAATTTCCTATCGAATCTAGTTGCTGTTGTCAATTTTATCCCAAATACCCCAAACCAAACCCACTGCCACCAAGTTGATTCTGACTTATAGCAACTCTATATAGCGAGAGGTTCCGAGACTGTAAATCTTTATGGGAACAGATAAGAGAGTCTCATTTTTCTCCTATGGAGTGACTAGTGGGCTTGAACTGACAACCTTTCCATTAGTAGCCCTAACTCACAGTGCCACCAGGACTGTTGATCCCATATGCTTTTGTTGTTAAGTGTCATTGATTTGATTCTGACTCAGTAACGCTCAATAGGGTTTCTGAGGCTGCAGATCTTTGCAGGAGCAGAAAACCTCATCTTTCTCTCTTACAGGGGATTGAACTGCCGACCTTGTTAATGTCACATGGTGGTGATGGTTATGTGATTGGAGCCAGTTCTTATTCATAGTAACCCTGTGAAGGATTTCTGGCGCTGTAAATCTTTACAGGAACAGAAAGCCTCATCTTTTTCAGTAGTTTTCAACTGCTGATCTTACAGTTAGCAGCCTGACTCCTAACCTACTGTGTTACTAGAGGGCCTTTGTTGAGTCCATATAGATAATATTTAGAAGAACTTATTGTTCAAGACAGATGTTTTCTTTTTTTCAGTTGGGGTACATGTATATATTCTGGTGTGGTACTATAGGATAAGCACTAGGATGCTAACTGCAGGGTTTTTGGTTCAAACCCACCAGCTGCTCCTCAGAAACCCTATATAGGGTCACTATGAGCCGGAACAGACTGGACGACACTAACAACAACAACAAATACATATGGAGCAAAACATTTGCCAGTTCACCATTTTGTACGTGTACAATTCGGTGACATTAACCATGTTCATCTTGCTGTTCATCCATTACCACTACCCATTGCTCAAATTTCCATCCCCCTTAACAGAAGCTCAGCATCCCCTGAGCAGTGAGCCCCTCTTCCCCGTCCCTCTTGCCACCCCTGATAACCATGAATAAATGTAGGTCTCTGGACATTGTGTCTTCTGGATATTTTGTGTAAGTTCAACATCAGTCCTCATATTGCTTTAAACTTCACCTGCCACCTTCTCTCCAGACTATTTTTTAAAGGAAGAACCTGAAAAAAGGTGGAGACAAACGGAATTCAAGTTATAGGATGATTTTAGCAATTGAGGAGGACCCCACTTTGGAACCCCCCGTGCACCTCTCCTTTCACAGGTTCCACATGGGACGAGGTGCTCACATTGCTTACTCAGCCTAGAGTGCCCTCTCTACCAACTCTGCACATCCAAATCTGCCCCCTCCTCTGAGGTGCTGCTCCATTTCTACCTCTTCCAGAAAGCCATTGCAGAGTTCTTCCATCTCTACCCCTAGGGTGACCCAGTCTTACTCTCACCAGACCTTGAGGGCAGGAGCCGGGTCTTAGGGCTAACTGCCCCTGGGGTTGAGTCCAGTAAATGCTGGTGGGGTCCTGGGTGGAAGAAGGTCTTCTCCTCACCCTGCCTCTTCCCTTCTCACCCAGACAAAAACCCATTATGAGCAGACGTTGGCTGAGCTGCATCGCTACACCCCACGCTACATGGAGGACATGGAACAGGCCTTCGAGGCTTGCCAGGCCGCTGAGCGCCAGCGGCTGCTCTTCTTCAGGGAAACCCTGCTCACTCTCCACCAGCACCTGGATCTCTCCAGCAGTGACAGGTGTGGAGACTGAATGGGATTGGGGGTGTTAGGGCCCAGGGGCCCCGAACTGAAGGCTGTACCTTGGGCCATAGGTTTCAAGAGCTGCATCGTGATCTGCGCCAGGGTGTGGAGGCAGCCAGTGATGACGAGGACCTACGCTGGTGGCGCAGTACCCACGGGCCTGGCATGGCTATGAACTGGCCACAGTTTGAGGCATGTGTTCCAGGCTGCCTGGGCCGGGAGTGGGGGCTCCCACTGGGCTCAGCCTGGGCCTCAGGAGGGAAGCCAGGGCTTGGGCTGATGTGGATTCCTCCTGGGCTCTGGTGAGGGTTGGTGTGGATGACCCTGGCTGCTGCCAGAGCCTTCAGCCCAGCCTGACCGTAAGCATTGTCCCTGAAGGAATGGTCCTTGGACACACAGAGGATAATAAGCCGGAAGGAGAAGGGTGGCCGGAGCCCTGATGAGGTTACTCTGACCAGCATCATGCCCACAAGAGATGGTGCTGCACCCCCACCCCAGTCCCCGGGGTCCCTAGGGTAAGAGCCAGGAGCCTGGCTGTGGGAAGGAAACAACTCTGCCTTACCCTCCTTTTCTCTATCTCCTTCGCTTCATTTGCTACTTGTCTGACCCACTGATACCAAACCCACTGCTGTTAAGTTGATTCTGACTCATAGTGACCTTGTATAGGGTTTCTGAGACTGTAAATCTTTATAGGGACAGACAGCCTCATCTTTCTCCCACAGAGCAGCGGGTGGGTTTGAACTGCTAACCTTGCAGTTAGCAGTCTAGTTCTTATCCTACAGTGCCACCAGGACTTGAAGGGGGTTAAAAAGTGGTTCCAGGAAGCTTTGGACCTGCTTCATGAGTGCCATCGAGTCGATTGTGCCTCCTAGTGAGTGACCCCATGTGACTGAGTAGAACGACTCCTTAGGGTTTCTGGGCTGTCACCTCTATGGGAGCAGATTGCCAGGACTTCCTCCTGCAGGGCTGCTGGGTGAGTTTCAGCCACCAACCTTTTGGGTACTCTGGTAGCGTAGTGGTTACGAATTGGGCTGCGAACAGTAAGGTCAGCAGTTCAAAACTACCAGCTGTTCCACGGAGAAAGATGAGGCTTTCTGCTCCCATAAAGATTTACAGCCTTGGAAACCCTGTAAGGGTTGCTATGAGTCGGAACCGACTCCACGGCACATAACGACAACAACAACAAAAACTGTTGCTTTTAAGTGCCATCAAGTCGGTTTTAACTCATAGCGATCCTGTTTAGGGTTTTCGAGGAGCAGCTGGTGAACTGGCACTGCTGACTTTGCAGTTCAAACTGACCTTGCAGTCCAGTACATTACCCGCAGTGCCACACCACGGTAGTAGCTTAGTGCTTTAACTGTTACACCCTCAGGGCTCTTAGGGCTTACTTAGTCATGATACTACAAGTTTTCATAGTGGTTTCGATTTGTCAGACATTCCCATGTTTCATCTCAACCTCCTCCTCACATCTGTTCCATGTGGTGAGACTCACCCCTGAGCACAGAGTCATGGATGGCACAGGGGGACACCTCCCTTTGTGGCCTTCCCCAAGGTTCTTCCATGGGGTAAGCCCTTGCCCCTGAGTCCTGGCTCTCTATATGGTCTTTCGGCCCCCTGAGCCTGACCCCCCTTCTGCCTCCTTTAGCAGCAGACAGGATGAGGACTGGTCAGATGAGGAGAGTCCCCGGAAGACTGCCACTGGGGTACGGGTGCGGGCACTCTACGATTATGCTGGCCAGGAAGCTGATGAGCTGAGCTTCAGAGCAGGTACCCTGGGACCCCTCTCCTGTACCTTTCCAGGCATTAGGTCCCCCTTACAGTCCTTTATTGGGCACGTTGTAGCCCCATTTTAGGTATTCCAATCAGTCGCTGTTATAATCCTGAACAGGATTCTGAGACAGGGAAGCTAAACACCCACTTCTCAAGATCCAGGTCTTAGATTCTCAAGGCCATCTGGATCCAGTTCCTAGGAGTCCTTGGGGCTGCCTTCCGGGTCTGGGTTCGGCAGCTAGCTGACTCCCACCCCCTCTGGCTGAACCATGTCTCTTTCAGCTGGGCTTTTGCACTGCCCCCTCCTGATCAGTCCTTGACCCAGTTGCAGGGACAAGGGCCGGAGACAGGGGGTGGGGTTGGGGGAAGGACAGCCAGGGCAATTGGCAGTGACCAATCCCTTTTCCCCTAGGGGAGGAGCTGCTGAAGATGAGCGAGGAAGATGAGCAAGGCTGGTGCCAGGGCCAGCTGCAGAGTGGCCGAATTGGCCTGTACCCCGCCAACTACGTGGAGTGTGTGGGGGCTTGACCTGCCCTCACAGCCCTCCTGCAACGTTTTCCACCTGGGTCAGCACCCAGCTTATCCAGGACAGCCCGACCTGAGGGCCAGGAACCTTTCTGCCTCTGTCCCCTGCCTGAGTGAGAGGGATGAAATCCTGGGACCCAGAGAAGGGAGGGGCTTGCATCCAGGAAGAGACTTGTAGGGAATGGCTGAGTCTAGACTGAGGGCCAGATGGGGAGCTCAGGAGATGTAGAGGGTTCCGGGTGCTTGGGCCTCCGCAGGAACTCTGGAGCCACCTGGCCTCTGCGCTTTGGGGTTCCTGGGTGGTATTGAGGTGAGTATAGTTCTGGGCTAGCAGCACCCGCTCTTGTGGTTTGTTCTAGTGTGTATTAAATTTGGAAAAAAAAACAACAACAAAAAAACCAGCATTGTGCATCTTTTTTGGTACTCCCTCCACTCTTGCCAGGCTGCCAGAGGGCATCTGGAGTGAGGCGCTAAGGGAGGTCCGTGGGCCTATGGTATGTTATGGCAACGGTGTGCCTGCTGGGCACTTGCTTTGGAACTTTGGGACCCTGGTCTGGGATGGGAGTGGAGATGAGCCACTGCTCGAAGACGGGTGATGGGGCTTGATTTTTGAGTTGGGTTGGAGCCGATCCGGGCTGATCGGACAACCATGCAGGTTTGTTGTTAAGTATCGGGCGTCAGTTCCAACTCACTGTGACCATGCATAGGGTTTTACGGGAGCAGAAACCCTCATCTTTCTCCCGCAGAACAGCTGGTAGTTTCGAACTGCTGACCTTGAGGTTAGCAGCCTAATTGGTAACCACTACACTACCAGAGCTCCTTGTTGTTCTTGTTATGTGCCGTGGCGTCGGTTCCGACTCATAGCGACCCTGCACAGGGTTTCCGAGGCTGTTAATCTTTACGGGAGCAGAACGCCTCATCTTTCTCCCGCGGAGCGGCTGGTAGTTTCGAACTGCTTACCTTGCGGTTCGCAGCCCGATTGGTACCAGAGCTCCTTTGGGCGTTAATTATTACGTATCAATCAGTAACTGGCCAGAGCACAAGCCTCCGTTTTGGCACCACCTTCTGGGCGAGCTAAGACGTCTGCTGAGCGTACCCAAGGAGGTTTGGGCCAGTCCGCGAGCCGTTGCTCCGCCCTGGCCACGGATTGGCTCGGGCTTGACGCCTCGTTTGTTCTGGTGACCATTGTATAGCGGGGCTGTTGACGTCTCTGCTCCTGTTCCGCCGGCTGCTCATTGGCCCAGGCCCGGCCCAAATCATACCACCCCCTTGGTTGACAAGGGCAGGGCTGAGGCCCACCCAGTTACCCCGCCTTCCCGTACTAAGATTGGTCCGCGACGGGACCCGTCGGTCGCGGTTGTGTCTGGGAAGGAGAGAAAATGGCGGCGGAGCCGAGCAAGACAGAAATTCAGACTCTTTTTAAGAGGCTTCGCGCGATTCCAACCAACAAGGTGCCTGAGTGGGAGGCGCGTAGGACCTGGTCCCGGAAGAGAGGGGGTCTCGGCTCCTCTGAGGCCTGAGGGAGGAAGAGAGGCGCGGGTGGGCTGTTTTCCCGGGATGTCAGAGCCCGGCCTCGACTCGGGGCCCTGACCATTTATTTGCTCATCGCCTCCTCCACCCAGGCCTGCTTCGATTGCGGCGCCAAGAATCCGAGTTGGGCCAGCATCACGTACGGGGTTTTCTTGTGTATTGACTGCTCCGGGGTTCACCGCTCACTGGGCGTCCATCTCAGCTTCATCAGGTGGGCTCTCCGCGCGGTGTGATGCTGTTTGTTTTACCCGGCCGGGGAGAGTGGCGGCCGCGACTAGGGTTGCTCTGAGTCCAGCGCTCGACAGCCCCGGGCGGAGAGTCCGGTCGCTTCCCACGGAAGGGAACCGCATCTGTGGGCGGAAACTTCATTCCTCCCTGGAGGTCAAGCTTAAAGCTCTGAGCGTTAGCTTCGGGGGACTGCAGCTTAGCTGCTTTGACCTTACTGATATGTTGGCTGAATGTGTCTGTCAGACGTGAGACTGGCCGCACTTAGGGGAGCTTCCGCCAAACCCAAGTTTTGTGACTGGGAATTTGACCTCCTTTCGGATTAGGGAAAGTAATTAGTACCCTTCTGAATAAATGAATGAAGAGCAAAGCTTGTGTGCCCTGGGAAGAGTGGAGGAAACGGGGGTGGTGGCAGATTACTGTTTCCTGGGCGTCCACAGCAGCTGAGGCCAAATGATAGGTGTGCATCTGCGAATGAAGGGAGGAGGGGGGACTGCTTTCCCGGTGGGTGCTGGTGGGTGACATGCAGCTCTTGCACGCAGGTCCACAGAGTTGGATTTCAACTGGAACTGGTTCCAGCTGAGGTGTATGCAGGTCGGCGGGAATGCCAATGCGGTAAAGCTTCTTCCACACCCCCTCACCTTTCTTTCCTGGTTCTGCCGAAGACTAACTGTATCAGAAGTTGTTAGGAGGTCGGCTCTGTTGGTCGCTTCTGAGGGTTGGGTTCTGTAATGGCATAGAACACTCCTTTAAACTTGGATGACCCGTTACAGTTCGTTTCAAAGGGACTTCAGATTCAAACCAAACTGGAGAGGTGTACTTAGGAAAAGACCAAGGGAATTGGGGCCACGGCCTGGTGGAGGAAAGATGGGCAGAGTAGGTGTGGCATGCTGCCCTTAAGCTGTGCGTTTTGCAGAGGTTTCTGAGGAACGTGGGCTCTGTGTAAAACCTCAGGTGTCGGTCCTGTATGGATAACTGGCAGGGGGTAGGGACTGCCTTCTGCAGCCCGTTCATTTTTTGCCGTGGTGACCATCACCTGTAGCACATTCCTCTGTCTCCTTCACTCCTCAGACTGCTTTCTTCCGCCAACATGGCTGCACAGCCAACGATGCCAACACCAAGTACAACAGCCGATCTGCCCAAATGTACCGGGAGAAGATCCGGCAAATGGGGAGCGCTGCCCTGGCTAGGCATGGCACTGATGTAAGTGCCCGTTTCCAGGGGTGGGATGGTGAGATCCGAGTGGGAGAACTGAGAGCGTGTGTTTCAGGGGCTGCCTTTTCCCTTCTAGCTTTGGATAGACAATCTGAGTAGTGCTCCCAGTCACTCCCCAGAGAAGAAGGACTCAGATTTCTTCACAGAACACACCCAAGTGAGTGCCCACAGGAATGTTGCCCAAGATGGTTCCTAAGTGCTTTCCTTACCAAGGCTTAGGTCAGTCATGACATGGAGTCGTCTCACCTGGGGTTCCATGGACAGAGGATGTCTGCTCCCCCACCCCCCTTGAGTTGGTGCCTGCTGACTGGGCCAGGTGTTTTCACCTTCCATGAGTGGGGGTACACTGTATTCCTCAGGGATGGGCTCCACAGAGATGTGGGGAGGAGGAGAAACTTCCTGAAGGCCCATGTGATCTCTAGGCCCCTAAACCACTTTTTCTGGAATCTTTTATAAGAAAAGTATTGGAGTTGGAGACTATGAAAGGATTCCCTCCCTGTGCCCCACCCCTATGCGCAGGAGCATTTCCTCTCAACTGACTCTGGGGGCTCAAGTCTTATTTTGAATTCCTGCTCCTTTACTTAGCAGCTCTGTGGCCAAGTCCCTTAATATCTCTGAAGTAGTGATGCATCGGCCTCCTAGGCTTTGTTCTGGTAATAAATGTGCTTCTGTGTGAAAAGCTCTTTGACTTATTCCTGGCACATGATTAGCATCCAGTGATTGTTAGTGGTTGTTAAGGGAGGGGTGGAGAGGGGTACTAGTTCCTGCTTGTTTCTGTAATAAATAGCAGACATGGTTTTCCTTGCTAATCTCCAGTCCCTCTTCCTCATGTGCTTGGAGTAGGCCTTGTACCCACAGGTACTTGTAGGTTCTTAGTGGCCCTTGCCAGCAGGAGTGACTCACTAAGGCTTCTGTGATCTGACTTCCATTTCAGCCCCATGCCTGGGATGCCCACGTCTCTGAGACATCAGACCTCCAGCAGTCAGCCCCACCTGCAGAGAGCAGTGGCCTAACACGTGAGTTCAGTGTGGATTCCAACCAAGTGTCCAACTAAGGAAAGGGACTCTAGCCTAGCTCTGAATGTTTAGGCCTTTTCTCTTTTAGCCTCAGTAATCTGTATAAAGCCAGTGTCCCCACTGTTAACCTGTCGCTTCCCTTAGGGGAACGATGACTCTTACAACTGTCTCCTCCTATTGCACCCACAGAGCCAGAGCAGGGCCCCAGCACAGAGCTGTTGGCTAGCTCACCGAAAGCCTCTGTGGGTGAGTACGTCAACAGGTAGCATGGGCTCAGCTGGGAGAGGGTGGGCCATGAGTGTTTCGGTCTGCTGCTGCCTGCTTGTGTGGACAGAGACCACAGGATACGGAGCGTCTGACCTCTGCAGTGGAGACTGATTGAAGTGGGGGCTGCAACACTGACACCAAGTACTGTAGAGCTAGGGCTGCGGGGATTGATGGACCAGGGGCTGCTGGTGTGGGAGACCTGGGCCTTCGGTGCGTTAGGACTGCTTCTGACCGCAGTGTGGGGAAGCCAGCCTGGACAGGGCACCTAGCTCTGGGGTCTGAGGCTGGCCTGGCCTGTCTGGCCCACTGTGTGCCTTCTGTGAGGAGGGATCCTGCTAAGCTGCTAAAGGCTGGGGGAACCAGTGCTCTTCTCAGCCAGTAGGGGGCTGCCCTTCACCTTTAGTTAGTGTCAAGGGTCATTGAGTAGTTTCCTACTTAAAGTGATCCTGTATGTAGTTTCCAAGGAGCAGCTGGTGGGTTTGACCTGCCGACCATGTGATTCTTGTCCAGTACTGATCCTACAGCACCCCTTTCACTTTTACTCTCCTTAGCGTCCTTCAGACTTGGTTCAAGGTGAACCAGTCCACTTGCTGATCTCAGTTTGTTCTGGTGACCTTTGGGGGAGCTGGGGAAGGAGTCAGGAAATACCTCTGAAATTGACCCCCTTGAGAAGGCTGGCATGATTTGGGCCTTGGAGAGACCTCTGGGCTGGGAGCTGGAGGCTTTCGGGGCAGGGACACCTCTTGCTAGTCACTAGTCTATCTCTCCTCCAGGGTCCATGTATCTGTCAGCTCCAGGGAACCCCCTTCCTGCAGGAGGTAACCAGCAGCTGTTTGGGGAGTTTGGCTTCTTGCTTGCCAGCGCCTCACTGTAGCCACTGAGGCTTGTGTTTGGCACCTGCCCCTGCCCAGCAGTCTTCATGGTGACTTGGGGACTTTGACAGGCTCTGGTGCTCAGCTGGGAGTCAGCAACCTCCCCTGACTTCTCTGTCTTGGGCGCGGATGGTCACAGATCTGTCTGAAGCTGTTCTTTCTAGAAGTTCTTGCTATGAAGCTGCATGGTGTGAACTGAATTGCGGGACCGCTGCCAGCCTTCATCCAGCTCATGCCTGTCCTCTTGCTCACACAGAACTGAAAACCTCCATCATTGGCAAGAAGAAGCCAGCAGCAGCTAAGAAAGGGGTAGGTGGGGAGAGGCCATATGGTAGTGTCGTTAGGAACCAGGACCAGACTGCTTGAGTTCCCTTCTGACCACCACTTGACTGTGGCAGGCACCCAACGCCTCCGAATGTTATCTGGGAAAGGTGGAAAGCTGCTTCTCTTCCAGGGTTCGTGGGAGGAGGCAGTGATATCGTGCATGCCGGGTGCTCCAGTCAGTATCAGCTGCTGTCTTCAGACCTGGGCTTCTGTGGGGCTGTAGGGGCTCTGGGAGCCATCTCCCTTCCCTCTCGGTCATGCTGGCTGAGTTCCTATGAGTTCGGGCAAAAATGGAGTTAAAATCCAATGAGTTTTTCCATGAACGTTTTGAAGCCCCTGTCCAGTTTCCTATCTGAACTTTAAGAAGGAATCCCATCTTTGTGTTTGTGGCTAGCATGCCCATGCCTCAGGGGGGCTAGATAAGGTTGTGGTTGGCAGGGCCCAATGCCCCCTGATTCTCTCTCCTAGCTGGGTGCCAAAAAAGGCCTTGGGGCCCAGAAGGTGAGCAGTCAGAGCTTCAGTGAGATTGAACGGCAGGCACAGGTGGCAGAGAAGCTCCGGGAGCAGCAGGTGGCTGATGCCAAGAAGCAGGCCGAGGAGTCCATGTGAGTGTTCAACCAGGGGCCTGGCAGAGGAGGGATGCTGGGGGGCACAGGCAGGTCGGGATGGATGCCAGCCTCTGACATGTGTGTTCCCTCCAAGGGTTGCCTCCATGCGTCTCGCCTACCAGGAACTGCAGATTGATCGTAAGAAGGAAGAGAAGAAGCTACAGAATTTGGAAGGGAAGAAGCGAGAGCAGGCAGAGAGGCTGGGCATGGGCTTGGTATCCCGAAGGTGAGGCTCAGCCCAGGGATACTGCAGAGAAAGGCCATTGTTCTTCTGGGAACAGTTGCAGCCTTTTCTCAGCAGTGTCTAAGCTTATCCTTCCTCCAAAGCTGAATAAATAAATCATCTTGATTGCTGTCATACAGCACCTAGTGCAGTGCTTGGCACATAGTAGGTATGTGCTCAGTACCACAGGAGCAGGTGCTGTAACAACCAGCGGACCAGGGTGGGGTTTCTTCCTTTTTTTCTTACTCGTGGTGGTTCATAGTCGTGGTTTTATTGGTACACTGTATGGGACAATTTTTCAAAACGTCCCTAGAGTTTGGAAGACCTTAGGATTCCTAGTCCCTGTCAGCTAAATGCCATGTGTGTTGGTGGACACTAGTGACACTCCCAGATGCCCCCTTCTGCTGAGCAGTATGCTTCTGTTTGAGAACCACTTGGCTTATGTTATTGTGGCTTTCTGAAAACACGAGTTGCTGACTAGCTGTATGCTGTATTGTGTTTGCAGTATGAGTTGAATGTTAGAGATTTCAGTAAAAAGTCTTGACTTTTGACTTCTCTTAAGAAATTGAACTGTCAGCACCGAGGCGAGCATTCCTGGTGACAGTTAACTGGTGCCAAGTGTTGGCTCTTTCTTTCAGGGGGCACAGTGAGACTCAGTGCAGTGATGATGCAGTTTGCCTAAAGCCCACAAAACTAGTAATTGGCAGAAGTAGGTTTTAAATGGGGATCCTGTTTGATTACAAATCTGTGTTTTTTTATGTCTTACTTTGCTGGAAAAAGATACAGCTGATAGTTTTTACTTCCTCTTGACCAACATGGGCCAATTGGGTCTAGCTAGTCCCTTTTAGCTTATGTGCTGATATTGTAACCGCTAATCAGCGAGACACAGAATTTTAATCCTGAAAAGGACTTTAGTCTTCTTTCATTCCATGTCAATTTCCAGATAGAAATTCTAAGGAGCTCTGGTAGTGTGGTGGTTACGAATCGGGCTGCTATCCTCAGGGTCAGTAGTTCGAAACTACCAGCCGTACCGCGGGTGAAAGATGAGGCTTTCTGCTCCAGTAAAGATTTACAGCCTTGGAAACCCTGTACAGGGTGTCTATGAGTCGGAACCGACTCCACGGCACATCACAACAACAAATCAGCAAAACATAGAATTTTAATCCTGAAAAGGACTTTAGTCTTCTTTCATTCTATGTCAATTTCCAGATAGAAATGATTGGGTTAGAGTATAAACAGTAGAATGTTTTGTTTAAACCTATTTAAAGCCCACTGCAACAGATTCAAAAGGATTCCCCCAGCTAAAATCTCTATGCTGTTAAGTGTGGTAGAGTTGGTTCCAACCCATAGCGATCGTGAATAGGGTTTCCGAGGAGCAGCTGGTGATCTTGAACTGCTGACGTTGCAGTTCAAACTGGTTTTGCAGTCATTTTGAAATGTATTTATGTACCTCAGATGTGTTTCTTTGCATCAAATTGATTCTTCAAGTGTGTCTGTGGTACATGAAAGTCCTGGTGTGGCACTGTACAGTAAGTATTACATTGCTCACCGCAAGGTCAGCGGTTCAGACCCACCAGTTGCTTTTGGAAACCCTATAAAGACAGGGTTACTATGAGTAGAACTGACTTGACGTCCCACAGCATGGTATGGGGAAACAGAGGCATCGCCTGTGGCATTGTCCACTCATTCTAATGCCCCTTCTCATTGGGAAACCAGACATCAGAGAATAAGGCCAGGCTCTGCCTTGAGCTACTTTTTTCTTAAAACTAACATGGGATACACCTAGGGTGATTAAGAACTTACCCTTTGTGGACATAAGACTCATTATTTCTGACTCGGCATATTTCGTCTTTGCCCTTTTGTATGTATATTGGGGGGATGTGTGTCTGAGTGAAGGCGGTGACTCGAAGTGCAGAAAGTTCTGCCTTGGGGGCACCGAGCTGGTTTGCAGACAGCGCCCGCTCCAGTGCAGCACAACCCTGGGCACTCTCGCTTGGGTTATGTTTGACCAGCTGCTTCACTCCTCTGTGGTCCCTGGGGTCTGGCCCCCCTTGTGCACAGGTGGAGAAGCCGTCTTCTCATGTGTGGTGATACTCAGGCCTCCGTTGAGCGTACACTTGGCCGTTTTCTTTGCAGCTCCGTCTCCCACTCAGTGCTGGCTGAGATGCAGGTGATTGAGCAGGAAACCCCAGTGACTGCAAAATCCTCCCGTTCGCAGCTGGACTTGTTTGATGATGTTGGTACTTTCGCCTCTGGACCCCCAAAGTAAGGCTACTGTTGGGGAGCAGCCTTTGCCACCATGCCTGTCTTCAAAATTCTCAGAGTCACTCTGTTGTCTCCGCAGATACAAGGACAACCCTTTCTCCTTGGGGGACAGTTTTGGTTCCCGATGGGACACAGATACCACCTGGGGAATGGACAAGATGGAGGAGAAGGAGCCGGAAGTGACCATCTCAAGCATCCGGCCCATTTCAGAAAGGTAGCGTGGTCTGAGGCAGCACTTCTGGTGGGATTCTCTGTGGAGGTGGAATGTTCAGTATCGGCCCTGGTCCAGCGTGGGACCCACTAGCCACGTGGCTATTGAGCCCGTGAAGTAGGACTGGTGCAACTTAGGAATTGCAGTTTTCCAGTTGGTTGGATTTGGGTAAATCTAAGTGGCCCCGTTGTGACATGGGGTCCATGATGCTGTAGATAAGCACTGGACTGCTAACCACAAGATCGTCGCCTCAGTCTTACCAGCTATTCCTGAGAAACCCTATACAGGGTTGTTAGGAGTCAGACTCGACTTGACAACACTCAGTGCCTACCGTAGTTGACGGCATAGGAAGCTGGCTCTGGTGTTAAACTGTGCTTAACAGCGGAGGGTCTGGCAGCATCTTCCACTTAGGGCAGGAGGGGCCTGATTCTACGCTTCCTCCCAACCTTCATTTTCTTTATGATTTCGGTTTTTTTAAATCACGTTCCATACTCATCTACAAGTTGACGTATTATCTGTTAATCATTCATTTGTAAAGTGGGAACATAAATGGCTCTGCTAGTAGGGTGAAATGTCATGAGATTTAGCATTGATCCCAGAGTCTGCATCGCATGGTGTAGGGATCCAGGCCTCTGAGAGTAAGGACTGTCACAGCAAATCAAGACATCGGGTCACCTGAATGTTGAGTGTTAGTAGGGGGGTAGCCTAGAGACAGCACAACATCTTGTACCATGACGTCAGCGGTCGTGGTTTCAAGCCGAAGCAGAGGCTCCTCCAGACCATCCTGGCACCCTGCCAAGTGTGGTCACATGAGTTCTCTGTGCAGCCATGGCAGGTGGGCTTCTGACTTCTCCAGTGGCCTTTGCACTTTGTTCTCAGCCTCCCCTGATGGCAGCGGGAGGGGTTATTAGAGATGCTGTTCTCCATCCACCCCTCAGAGTCACAAACCGGAGGGAAGTGGAGAGCCGGAGCGCAGGCCTGGAGTCCAGTGAAGCGCGGCAGAAATTTGCAGGAGCCAAAGCCATTTCCTCGGACATGTTCTTTGGGCGGGAGATGGATTCCGAGGTAAGTGGAATGAATTGTCTCCTCCAGCTGGAGGCTAGAGGAGTGGACAAGAGCGCCTCCCTACCTGATTTGGGCGTTAGTGCTGGGTTATTGACCTTGTCTGTTCCTCACCACAGTACGAGGCCAGGTCTCGGCTCCAGCAGCTCTCAGGCAGCAGTGCCATCAGCTCTTCAGACCTCTTTGGGGAGGTGGATGGAGCTCATGGAGCAGGTAAAGCCCCAGTGGGAAGCCTGTCATCAGAGCTGGGGTACTACTGGCCTGCAGGTCACCCCTTCCCTTGCCTTTGCAGGTAGTGTATCTCTGGGGACGGTGCTCCCTACAGCCGACATTGCCCAGTTTAAGCAGGGTGTCAAGTCTGTGGCTGGGAAGATGGCTGTGCTGGCCAATGGTGTCATGAATTCTTTGCAGGTGAGGCTGGCTGCTAGGGACCTACGAAGTAATGCTTAGAGGTTGTCTTCTCGACTTCATGTGGCCACAGCTCCTCGTCTGAGAGCGCGGTTTCTTGTCTTGACTCCATCCGTGGCCGTGTCCCCTCATCCCGTCACCCCCGCTGCTCTTTCCTCCCTTCCCAGCTTTGCGTGTTCACACAGGGCTTCTCCTGGAGTTCAGGCCATACTCGTCTTTCCAAGTCACAATACAACAAGAACCCCTCCCTGTTGGGACCTGGGTGCCTGCCTACCTGCTGCTGTGGCTGGTGGGTGGTAAGAGGTCAGGGGGTGGTGCCTCCGTGACCCTGCCTTTTCCTCCTCCTTATCCCAGGATCGCTATGGTTCCTACTGACGGCAGTGCCATGGCTCAGGCATATGGTGGTGAAGCTGAAGCCCAGGATGCTCAGGCCAGGGAGGCTTGCCTTGTGGAGGCTGAGAGGATTTGTTACTTTCTCTGTGCGTGTGAGCGGGGTGACCTGAGAGGATCTTGGGTGAGGGGAATGGTCAGTACCAGCCTTGCCCTCTACCTGTGGCATGAGCCCCTTGTTCTCCTCCCTTCATGGCCCCTGCCTATGTGCTAGATTAGTGCCCAGCCGTCCTGCCCCGAAGCTGCTGCTCCATGTCTGACCCCACTGGGAGGTGGGGAGAGAGAGGCCTAGTTCTGGGTCCAGCTCTTCCCCCGTGGAAAGTGTAAGGCTTTTTACTGGCTTTAGGATCCTTCTGGGTAGTCTGGGGGCTTGGGGACTTGGGTGTCAGTTCTCTGGGGCAGTGGGGGAGGCCGAGAAAGTTCTACTGAGGAATGACCCCTGGGAGAGAGGCTCTCTCAGGACTTGATCCTGTGGCCAGTGGCCTCTGGGTGCTGGGAGAAGAGGGGAGGGGAGGACCTTGGGCTGGGTCTTACTAAGGGCTAGAATCTTTACCTGGTACCTAGAGGTGTCATCTGGAATCAGACTGGAGGCCCATGCACCCCTCCCATCTCAACCACCCGTTCCCAGTCCTCACTCAGTGTGTGTGTGTGTGTGTGTGGGGGGGGGTTACTTCTGATTGTCACGGAGTCCTGCCATGCCATTTGCTCTATCCTCTCCTGAGCTATGTCTCTGCCCCTTGGTCCCCTGGCTGGTGGCCACCATGGGCCTTACCAGCCTCAACCCTGCTCTGGATATAGTGAGCCTGCTGTTGACAGAAAGCCAAGCCATGCAGGGCCCTGGGCTCCCCACTACTCGGTCAGCACTACAGGGCAGGGCTGTGCAGCTGGTCGCCCTTGGTGCCATCTTTCCTGTCATGCTGGCAGGCTGGGCCCGGCCCTCCTGTGGGTTGAGGGCTGGGCACCCAAGCAATTCAGACCACTGTTCTCCCCTCTCCCTCCCCCAAAGGGATATGACTGACTTTCTGGACTGTTTGTATTGCAACAAAGTGGTGTCGAAATAAAGCCCCACAGGCGCTGGGCCCCTGCCGGTCTGAGCTGAAGTCCTGTTCTCTCTGGCTCTCCCCTGCTGGAAGCAGGCCCTCGCCTCACTCTTGGGTCCCCCACCGAGGAGGGTAGGGCGACGGTGCAGAAGCTGAGGGGCCTCTCTCCAGGGTCTCAGGTCTGTCTCTTCTCTGAAAGCCAAAGGCCCCTGGCTCATCAGCCCTGTACTGCCGCGAGATTCTGTGCAGCCTCGACCTCACCACCCTGTTGCACGCGGAGGAAAGAGCTAGTATTAGTTGGCCCTTTAACTCACTCCTGAGCCACAGGCTGAGGCGGGGAGTGTATTGAGCGAGGCCTCAGCCTCATGAGCTCATCACATAAGGATTGACTGGGGGCAAGATTTTCAGTAGTGTTTCAGAACTAGAATATTCATACTTGGTTAATTTAAGTCCATGAGGAAGAATGCGCTCACAATGAAATCCTTTTTCCTTAAGAGGGGCTTCTGAGAAGTGGATCAGAAGGGGCAGGTAGAGGGAAGTATGCAACTGAAGTTAGTGAGCCCACCCCACACAGGTACTGAGTCAGAGTGGGACTTTAGCGTGGTTCTCAGCACTGGTGACCACCCGGCCCTACCTGGTTCGTACCCAGCTCTGAGAACTGCTTCAGGGCCTTGAGAGCAGGACTGAGTCTACAGAGATTACATGCAACCTGGAGTTGCTTCTGGACTGATGGCCTCACCCTGCCCTGCCCTTCCTCCTGTCTGCTGGAAGCTTGTGCTCCTCAGGTGGGCTGCTTGTTCCCAGCTGAATGCTATCCTCCTTAGCCCATGGGAAGTGTTGGCAAATGCCTAATGAACCCATGGCTGGCAGGCTGTGCGGTGCCAGCTCTTCGGTGGGCTGCTGGGAAGTAATTGAAGCCTGGCCTAGCGCCGTCTGGGCCTCAGTGAGCAGCTCTCTGGCATGTGTGGACAACTCTCCAGGCTCCCACTTCCCAGTGCTGTTGGAGAGACCAGATCCCACACACGGCCCTTCCCTTTATCCTTGTCCCTCCAGTTCCCGGGGCTGCAGACTCACCACTTCCCAGACATAAGGGCCTTTATTCATTTCAGAGTGAGCTGGTAGACGCGGAGGACTAAAGCAGTTTTTGCAGGTGCAATTGTCTTACCCACCCTCCTTCCACTGGTGGTGGAGGGTTGTCCCTCCAACAGAAGGCCTCAGTGGTTATGTCCCCCACCCCCGCCCCTCACCCTTGACCATGCAAAGCCCTTTGTTGGTTCCTGGTCACCCCTTCTTGGAGTATGCTGCCAAGAGAGGAATCTAAAAAAGGCAGGGGTGTGGAACAGGTTGGGTGAGAAGTGTCTGCTTTCCCTTAGGATGGGAGCACTGTTAACAAAAGGCAATGGTCAAGTCCCCTCCCCAGTGACCAGATGGCCTTTAACCTAACTGCAGTCAGCTCGAAGCCTGCAAGAAGCAAGCAGAGAACTTTCTCGGGCCGACTTGGCTGATGGTCAGAAGCCCTGAGGCCGGTCTGTGGGCTGGGGCTGCTGTTCAGCCTTTCCACCAGCAGAGGGGAGCATGGCACAGCGCTGCAGAGGAGGGTGGGCTGGGAGCAAGGGACCAGCTACAGATGCCTCAGGTCTCGGACTCGTCTGTCTCTTCTGTGGAGCCATCGCTCTCTGCATCCACTTTGCGGGTGTGATGGAGGGGTCTCCAGGGGGAGGCAACCCGGGGAGGGGTTCGGGAAGACAGGTAGCTGGCCTCTGGGTTGGCAGTGACTGAGTTGACCAGGCCTGGGACCTGGGCCAACCTGAAAGAGGGAAGAAGCCCAGAGGGCAGTGAAGTGCCTTCTGTCTAGCACCTCTACCTCCACATTCATTCATGTGAACCCGTGGGAGCTAGCCCCAGAGAACCGAAGGAGAAGATTCCTCCTCAACTCTGACTGACCCCCAAACCTTGTCCTGACCAACATGGAAGCAGGGTGGGGCCTGGCTATGTCCCACTCCCCACAAGGGGGCAGCATCTTCCCGCTGGACACTTACAGACGCTCCAGTTCCTCATCCATGGCTGGGTCGTGCATCAGGTCTCCCTTGTCAGGCAAAGCTCCTAGGAGATAGTTGGACACAAGGTATCTGAGGGTCCTTCCACCATTTTCCAGTCAGGCTGCCCCCATTGCCAACAGATGCATCTCTGGCCTCCCCCTCACACCTGCTGACACTGATCCTGGGAACTCGGACGTAAAAGATACTTGCCAAGAGCTCTAAGAGGTGCAGGAGCACTGCTTTAGGGGCCTGTGACCAGATGTGTGGAGTAAGAGGTCAGATGTGTGGAGTAAGAGGTCTTAGGTGCTGCTGGATCAATTGAATGGATCTTGCTGCCTCTCCTACTCCACTTGGGACACAGGCCACCGCTAAGAAGACCTCGCCAAGCCTCGAGATCACTGCCCAAATGGGGCCGTGTCCTTCCAAAACCAGGTGGGTTGTGAACTGGGACAAGGGGTTTGGTCCTTTCTTGAGGTCCCAGGCCTTGGGCTGTAAAGGAGCCAGAGATATTGGATGTGGCCCAGGCTGACATGAAAACAAATAACTCATTGCCCTGGACTCTGTTCCAAGTGAGCCACCCTGTAGGAGAGAGTAGAACTCTATCCCATAAGGTTTCCAAGGCTATAAATCTTACAGGAACTGCTGACCTTTTGGTTAGCAGCTAGGTACTTTAACCATGTTCCGCCAGGGCTCCTTCAGGCTTACATAAAGACCAGAAATGACCCAGTTTTGTGGCCCCCACCACCACCACCAAGCCAGGTGGCCCCACCTTTGAGAGAGAAAAATGGTCAAAACAGAAAGGCCAGAGCAGGATGAGCAGGAGGGGGTGGCCCCACCTCTGCTGTATCATGAGTCTTCTCTGGGATCTCAGGACAGACTCCAGCTTCTCTGAGTTAAGTGCCTTTGCTGTTGAATTGTCTTGACTCAAGGTGACCCCATGCTCATAGAATGAAACACCAGTGCCATAACCATGAGCTGTTGCAGATTGAATATTGTGACCCAGAGGGTTTCCACCGGCTGACTTTTGAAGCAGATTGCTAGACCGTTCTTCCTGCTGTATCTCAGTCTGGAAGCTCTGCTGAAACTTGCTGAGGATCATTGTTGTTTGTTGTAAGGTGCCATCGAGTCGGAACTGACTCATAGTGACCCCATGCACAGCAGAATGAGACAATGTCCGATCCTGGGCCAACCTCACTACCACTGCCACACTTGATGCCATCAATGATGCCACTTGGCCGATCCAGCTCGTTGGGGGTCTTCCTCTTTTTCTCTGACCCTCCATCTTACCTAGCATGACATCCTTCTCCAGCGACTGTTCCCTCCTGACAGTATGTCCAAAGTATGAGAGACAAAGTTTAGCCATCCTGGCCTCCTAGGAGCACCCTGGCTGCACTTCTTCCAAAATAGATCTACTGGTTCTTTTGGCAGTCCATGGCACTTTTAATATTCTCCAACACCACAACTCATAGACATGTATATGTCTCCAATGACAACCCCGTGGGTGGTGGCTGTGCATGAGACACATTGGTCAGAACCAAATCCAGCTCACCAGCACACCCAAACCCAACCCAGAATTGGTTTTGACTCATAGTGATCCTGTACAGGGTTTCTGAGGAGTAAATTTTGACAAGAGCAGAAAGCCTCATCTTTCTCACACGTAGTGGGTGGTGGGTTTGAACCACTAACCTTGTGGTTAGCAACCCAGTGCTATTCTACAGCCTCACCAGGGTTGCTTGGGCTTCCAGCATGGAAGGCAAGAGTTCTACCAGCCAACCACCAGTGCCGCCAAGCCATACACTAAGGGAAGATAACCTTTTGATACTGGGAAAGGTGAACAGAGAGGCTCTTGCTGCTCCCAGCATTGTTAACAGTGGGAGTGGGGCACAGCCGGAAGTTTGCAGATAGGAAGAATTCTCACCAGCAAACTTCAGGGGACAACAGAAATCACTGGTGTTTAGGACCTAGAACTGGCAGTCAATAATACTGGTCTCTAGAAAGACTCAATCTTAACATTAATTACCCATCTGGTTCGACTTCATTTCCTGACTTGTCCAGAACTTTCTCAGATGATGCCTCCTGGCCACTTCTACCTTATTGGTTTTCAAACTTAAGTCATATGGAACCCTTTATTTTATTTTATTTTTTGGCGGGGGGCGGGGGGTGCCTTGTGGACCAAAGAACAAAAGCTATTCCTTTCCCCAATTAGCTTCAACCAGGTTCTCGATTTCTATTTTATACATTGGTTCCAGGTGAGACCATCTGCTCCTTCCTACCTTCCACTCCAGCCAACACAAATGCTCAAAGTTGCTGAGTTGCGTGGCTTCTCTAAAGAAGGGAGGGGAGGCCAAGCTGCAACCCACTTGCTCATTGGCTTTTGCTTTTGCTTTTCCTGCCTAGTGACTTTGGTTGGTGGAGTATGAAAGAAAACCTAAGCAAATCCCCACCCACCACTCCCTTTCTCTCTTCTTTTTTATTGCTAATTGAGAAGGTGCCTTGCTTCATTACAATGGTTGCAATCCCCTCCATGTACCCTCAGTTCTCAGTTCACAGCGTTTACCTGTATTCATTTAACTCTTGCATTCCTCCCTTCATCTTCCTTCTGCTGACCTCTCTCTTCTGTATCTTGAGCATGTCCTGTCTCCCGTGTTACCATGTGTCTATTCGGCAGCCTGTGAAAAAATTTCCCTCCCTGCTCCCCACTGTAACCATCATAGATTGTTTCTTTTATCAAGAAAACCTTTCCTTAAAATTTTACAATTTTATCTTTTTGTGATTCACTAATTCCACTCAGTATAAAGTCCTACAGGGCCATCCGTGTTGTGAGGTGTTTAGCAGATTCATTGTTATTCTTCAATATCACACATTATTCCACTGTGGGTGTGTACAACGGCCTGTTTCACCATTCTGTTAGTGGGCATTCAGACTGTCTATATCTTTTTGATGTGTTTCTTGTAGACAGCATTTTGAAGGATCCTGTTTTCTTATCCATTCCTCTATATTGAGTGGTGCCATCTAATCCACTTAGATTCAGTGTAATTATCAATAGGTATGAATTGATTGCTGTCATTTTGCTCTGTGTGTTGTGCTTCTGGTCTCTTTGTTCCAAATAATTTTCTGCACAGAGCTTATTTTGTTTGTGGGTTTTCTTTGATGTTTACTTATCCTTTCCAATTTTGTTTTTGTTGTTTTGATGTGCAGGTGTATTAATTTTCTTTATAATTTATTAATATTTTTCCCTATTTAAAAACCTGTTGTATCTTGAAATCTACTTGACTTCCTTAACCTTTTGGAAGTTCTGTATCTACACCATTCCCTTTTTTACTTTGTAGTTGACTTCATTATACATTGACATCTTTGGTTCCCTATTTTCAATCTTGTAGGTTTGTTTCACTCTTAATACTTCTCTATCTGAAATGAGTTGCAGGTGGTGTTATCATGTATAGTAATCTCAGGTGGTTATCTGCTGTTGTTGATTCTCAGTCCAAAGAACACCCCTTAGCATTGTTTTGTAAAGTTGGACTGGTCATTACAAATACCTTTCTGTTTATCAGGAAATGTCCTAATTTCGCCATCATATTTGAGGGACAGCTTTGCTGGGTATGATTCTCGGTTGGCAATTTTTTAAATTTCAGAGGTCAGTGTGTTTCATCCCATTGCTTTCTTGTCTGCATGGTTTCTGCTGAGAAATCAGAGCTTAGTCTTATTGGGTCACCTTTGTAGGTCAGTTGGCATTGTCCCAAGGTGTTCTCAGGAGACTTTATTTTTGGTTTTGGAGAGTTTTACTGTGATATATTTTGGTGATTTTCTCTTGGGATCTATCCTGTTTGGGGTTATTTCAGCTTCTTGAATGTTTATTTTCTTGTCTTTCATGATGTTAAAGGAAGTTTTCTTGCAACAACTTTTTACAGTTTTCTCTGTGGTTTTTATTGTCTCTTTCTGTTCTAAAATCCTGATCACCCATAATTTGTTCCTCTTCAAGGTATTCCACATAATTCTTACGCTTTCTTCAAATGTTTGTCATCCCCCACCACCCCCTCACGATTGTTCTAGCATACTGGTATTGAGAAACTTATCTTCAAGCTCACTAATTCCGGCATCCATGGCTTCGAATCTACTCCTTTGCCCTTTTCAATGTATTGCCCATTTCTGAGATCTTAGCATTAATCTTCTGGATATCAAATTTCAGATTTGTATTGTTTAAAATTTTGCATTTTGTCTGTTTGGTCATGTAGTGTTTTCCTTAATTCTTCCGAAGTTTTTTCTGTGTTCTCCTTGCTCTCCTTGATCTTTCTGTCAATTCTCTGATAGTACTCAAATACAATTCTTTTGAATTCTTCTTCAGTTAGTTTCATTACTTCTTCTTCCTCTGAAACATTTTCTGGCTCTGCATTTTGGTCATTTGAGCCATTCTCGTTTCATGTGAGCTAAAATTGTCAGTTATTTCCGGGGCCTTGTGGAATTGTCATATTTGTATTTAACTGACTGTGTGTTGATGTGATCTTAGGCTCACCAACCGTCTCCTGTGGGTGTAGATGGAGAACAGAAGCATCTGTACTTTTCTTGTTCACCAACTGCACAACTCAATTTAGGGTGGGTGTGGCTGGTGTTGGCTGCTGTCTATCATTGATCAGGTGGTGTAGGTACTGGTATTGACTCTTGCCCTGGGGTGGAGCTGCAGAAGGTACAGCTATAGGTAGGCTGTATGGGTACAGTTACCGTCTCCTTTCCTGTTGTGTATATGAATCTGCTCTGCTAGGCCACCTTCTGTTGCCAAAGTTGCTCACAGGATGGTAGTTCCAAGTTTGCCTGACCATTCACCAGTCGGTCTCCCTCTCTCATCATCCTTGCTCAGCTTCTCTTCCTAGCAAGCACTCAGTCTACTTCTCGAACCTTTGCTTTGGAGTTCAGGGTTCCAGGATTTTCATCTGTATCTGTTTCATTTGGTCTCATGGTGTGGTGCTGCAGGATAAAGTACTAGACTGCAAGGTCGGTTTGAACCACAAGGTTGGTTGTTCACCAGCAGTATATTGGAAACTCTACACAGGGTCACTGTAAGTCAGAACTGATTCAACAGCACTTAAAAACAACAATCTTCGTGGTAGCGGGTCCATGTAGTGTGTCTGCTTAGTCCATCATTTTGCTGGAAGTTCTACCCCCTTACTCTTGACTTCTGAGTATTTGCCTCCTTTTTACTCCTAGTCCAGCCTTGGCTACAATCTCAGGTGAAAGGTCCCAGACTGTGCCTGCCCCAAGCACAGGCTAACTCGACTGCCAGGTGTTGTGTGTACCTGAACAGGGTCTCAGTCAGTCCAGAGAGGTGTGTGTTCCTGGAACCCAGAAGCATCCTCAGCATAAAGCACGGGACACAGAACCTGGCCTACTGTGGGCAGCATGGAACAAATGCTTATTTCCTGCCGTTAAGCTGTTCCCAGACAGACAGAACTCCTTGTTGTTACGTGCCATCAAGTCAGTACCGACTCAGAGCGACCCTGTGCACAACAGAAGGAAACGGAATGTGTGTCAACTTCACAGTTTTCGCTGGAACCTAGTGCAACTGCAACTGTGCCAATCCATCTCATTGGAGGTCTTTCTCTTTTTCATTGACCCTCCATTTACTAAGCATGATGTCCTTTCTGGCAATATGTCCAAAGTATAAGAGATGAAGTCTAGGCATCCTGGCTTCCAAGGAACAGAAGGCTGTACTTCCAACACAGATTTGCTTGTTCTTTTGGCAGTCCACAGCACTTTTAAGATTCTCCTCCAACACCATAACTGAAATGTATCAATTCTTCTACGGTCTTCTTTATTCACCGTCTAACTTTCACATTCATATGGGGCTATTGAAAATACTATGACTTGGGTCAGGTGCACCTTAGTCCTCAAGCTGACATCTTTGCTTTTGAACACTTTAAAGAGGTCTTGTGCAACAGATTTTAACTTGGAACCATCAAAAGGAAGGAGGTTGGGGGGGTGGGGGTGGGACTGAGGTGTGTGTGTGTGTGTGTGTGTACTGTGTGTCTGTTTGGAGACTCAGGAACATGGGTTCCAAGCATCCTTAGAGTATTTGAGGAGAGGGAAGAATAAGAATCCCCACACTCCAGTAGGATTGGCCTGTTGGCTTTTCCTCTAGGAGAGAAGGCCTGTTGGAGACCGGGGAGAGTGGGGAAGGGGGACAGAGAAGACCAAGGATGCGACCCTACCAGTAAGAAGAAATGAACAGGAAAACCTGGGCTGTGCAGGCCTTCCCCTCTCTTTCCCTCCCCCCACCCCCCTTTTTAACCCCCTGGCAGATTAATCAGATTTTCTTTTTTTTCCCAGCTGGGAAAAAAAGGGCTCCCTAGACACACCTTTGCCTTGTTTACAAATGGGATTCAGTTCTCTTTGATATATAATCCCCAGAGCCACTGAGTAAATAGTCCCGTGTCTGCCTGACCTGCAGGCCACTCCCCAAGGCAGATCTGAGATCCTAAAGGGAGAGGCTGCTCATGTTGGGGCAGGGCAGGCTGTCCCTTACTGCTGAGATGGCCCCTCACCTGGCTCTGGCTTACCTAGGGCTTGGTTGATTCCATGATGCCTTGAGAGAGCCACGAGGAAGCCATAGAAGGTTAGTCTCTGAACGTTGCTGAGGACCTCTTTGACTAGAGCAGGAGGTGGGCAGCTAGAAGAGAAAACACACAGGTCCCATTCAGAGACTAGCTGGTCTGAGAGCCATCTTCCCTTTCATACCTCAGACTTCGGAGGATTCCCAAAGTGGAGCCCCTGGGGGAGCCTGGCCTTGACTGCAGACAGAAGGGTCACTGCGGTCACTGACTGGTGCTGCCACCAGGCAGGCGGGTGGATGCGAAGTGCTGTCCACTCGGTTCCTGGTGACCCTTTATAGGGCTTTCTAGGAGTGGCTGGTGACCTTGCAGTTAGCAGTCCAGTGCTTATCTTGCCAGAAGGACAAAATGGCTAATGTTAACAGCCTCATGTTGGACGAAACCAAAACTAGTTGCTCTGTCCCGTGTTTTATACAATGAATGTGCTTTCCTTCTTTCTCAGAAGTCAAGGTCAGTTAGGAGGAGGGGCCAGGCTGGTCAGCTACAGCTACTCTACCCAAGAGAAAACATGCCTTTCTAAGCCAGCCAGCTGGGGAGCCTCACAGTCAGTTCCCTGGTTCAGGGTCAAATGGCACTGTTGTAATTTAGACTCTGATCGTGAAGTGGCCCAGAAGCCCCGGACCAACCAGAACATTCCACTAGAGCTCGATTCCAAAAGCCAGCAGCCTGGTCTCCCCGAGGCTGCGGTGGGGGCTCGCACCCGTTTCTCACCTGTACTTGTGCCGGTCCCACAGGTTCTCCAGGCGCTGGTAGAACAGGGATGCCTCCACTCCCTCCAGCAGGCTAGCCTCACCCAGGGCTGGCCGTTGGCGATGCTGCCCACTGGATGATGTGGGTACAATCACTGTATTGGGGTTCTTGCCCGACAGCAGGTCCTGATAGATGGCAGCCACACTCTCCAAGAATTCTGGGTACCATAAGTGGGGGAGGGTCACAGTTCAGGAAATGAGGATATATTTTGGCCCTTCCTTGTGTCCTCCCTTCTGTTAGCTCTGCTCTGCATCAGCTAGTGTCCTGAGAGCAAGAGCCAGAGCCCTCAGCCGTGCTTGACTGACCAGCACATTCATGAAGGGACACTAATATGTGGTTCCGCTCAAATGTCCATCCTCCTCTGGACAGTTGTCCCTGGCCTCCTAGACTAGCTGTCACACCCCAGTGAATACTTCCATCACCCTTGCACTTCTTGGTAGCTCTTACCCAGTGACTGGTTTGCTGCCTTTTTGCTAGAATGTAATATCCTTGTTTTCCCTAGCACCCAGTACTGGCACATACTGAATGCTATAAATTACTTCTGAAATAACGAACACATGCATAATACTCCCACTAGGGCGTCTCCACTTGTGAGACCACCTGTCCCTCTGCCTCAAGAGCACATGCTGTGACCAATGAGGAAGAAAGAAAACCCGTCACCTGCTTTTTATTAAGCATTGAGCCACTGAGTGAACTGATGGCAGACAACTCACTGGTGCTGTTGGGGTCCTGAGCTGCCCAGTCCCTCTCTGGGAGGGCCGGGAGAAGCTGGCAGAAGACCAAGAGGAGAAAAGGTGCTCCCTACCTTGCTGCTCCTTCTCTGAAGTTCAAGCGCTTCAGAGTAGTGGAGCTGCTAAGAGCAGGGAGCAAGCCCCTCAGGTGGCCATGGAGTAAACAGAGTGGCCAAAATGAGGCTGGGGCTGGCTGGAACCACAGACTGCTAAGAAGGTCACCTCCAAGCTCCAAGGACAGCCTTCTTACTGGAAGAGCCCCGGGTTAAACAGCTCTGTTTATGGACACAGCAATTTCTAAATCGCACAGTCCATGTGATGTCGCTTGTGTGTGAGCTGGTGTGCATTTGTATCTTTCCATCTATTCTGGTTCCACCTGAATCCAGAAGAACGGAAGCCGGCTGGTCTGTGCTGGGGAGGAGGCTGGTCTGGGGAGAAGGTGCCCCATAGATGGGGAGAAGGTGGTCCATAGACACAAGTCAGGGGCCAAGGCAGAGATGTAATCACGGCCCCTCACATGGCTTCCAGCAAGGCCTCACCACTTGTTGGCTGGGCGGCTTTGGTTTCTGACCAGTAAGAATAAAGGAACAGGAACACCTGGGCTATGCAGGCCTCTCCCTTCCCGCGCCCCTTTTAACGCCCTTTCAGATTAATCAGATTTTTTTTTCCCAGCTGGGAAAAAAAGGGCTCCCCAGACACACCTGTAAGTACTATTTCTGGGCTGTTGTAAGGATTATTGTGTCAGTAAACAGGGAATGCTATTGTTGGCATTGGGTGTGCTGGTGACTGGAGGCTCAGTGTCTTGTGGAGGCCGTGGACCTGTGACCACCAGTGGGAACCAGACATCCTGCTAGGGGCCCAAAGAAGTGGGGGAGAGAAACGTGTGCCAGATAGACAGATGGACAGAGCCACAGGACAGGAAAGGGAGACTCACCTGAGTAGTAGAACTGGATCTGGAAGGCAAAAAGGAAATCGGAAAAAGACATCAAACAGTCCATGGCGTCGTCCATGAGTACAATCCTGAGGGAGAAACAACCGGCTGTGGTCCAGGTGATTCTGATTTATGCACACCCCGTGAGTCAGAATCAGAGTAGAACTGTGCCCCTTGAGGTGTTCCCTTTTAAATTCGGTGACACTGATGACATTCTTTGAGGTGGCTAACTATTCTCACCCTCCTTTTTCAGTGACTCCTCATCCAGTAACAAACTCACTGCCCCCTAAGTTTCCATTTAATCTCTTGAGTTGCTATTGTCAATTTGACTCTATAGACACAGTTCTTCAAAGAGCAAGGCAGACACCCTTTACTAACTACGCTGGACTCTTGTTTTCTCCATGGCTGCATAGCCTCGAATCATTAACCTTTTGGTTAGCGGTCAAGTGCCTTAACTGTTTGCATCACCCAGTAATTCTGAGAGGCTAAAAGAGAGAAATGTGTGTGAGAGACATAAGAAAAGGAAAAATGAGAGGATGTGTGTGAGAGATAGAGTGGGAGGCACAGGCAGGCAGCTTTGTTACTGGATCTCCAGTCTCCCCAGGGCAGCAGGACACATTTGGGAGAGGGGTCCGGAAAGCAAGCTCCTCCCAGTCACCTTACTTTTTCTCCAACAGTTGGGCTCTGCCACTGAACTGAGCTAGTCACAATGCACCCAGAGTGGGCTCCCGGCTCAGTCTCTGTGGCACCAGCTAGTGGATGGAGCATGGGGAGGGAGGCACGAGGGGGGAGAAGAGAGGGTGCAATTGTAATACAGCCAAGATTTCTTTTCATATACTTAAGCAGTAAATCCCTTCATCCTGCAGCGAGGACCATTTAGTTCAGAATAAACACAGCTGATCAGAAAAGGCAAAAAGAACAGCCAAGAGGTTTAAAGGGGTCTTGGCAAGTGGTACTGCGATTTAATAAGCTCCCAAAGGGCCAGAACAGAACTGGCACTTCGGTAAGGGGCACTGATGGCAGACAAGGGGAGAGGGTGAGGGGCTCCGGGGAGTCTGCCCTGGAGCAGGCCTCTCTCACAGCTGATCGCTTCCTGATTTTCTCTCTAGTTCCCCCAACTGGGCACCCACGGAAGGGATCAGAGCAAGGCACAGTCACGGTCATCCTCTGCTCAGGGCCTCGTCCTAGAAGGGACTGGAACGGAAGGGAGTTAGTACTTTCTGGGCTCTGGGAATGTGCCAGGGAGGGGCCAAACTCATCTCCAGGAGGGAGCGGGAGATGGCCCCAGTCTCTTTCTGACTGGACCCTTCTGGCTTTATCTTAAAAGAAAAAAAAAGTTTTATTTTGATCTCTTGTATATTTTTCTAAACCTCTCTCCACCACTCTCTCAAAGGGTCCCAAACTAACAACAAAATCAGCTCACCTTGGGGAAAGGGGCCTTACAGATACAAGATGAGGGAGGGCCCTGGGGCTGTGTGGGGCGGCTGGCCCTGCTTTCAGATCTTACAAAGAGAGAAAATGATTCCAATCTAGTCTTCAGCTGTAATAATACTAACAATAGAAGCAGGTACTATTTGCTGAGGACCCACCACATGGCAGGCACTGTTAGTACAAGGTACTTAACTCCATTAATTAAATGTTATTCCACAACAATCCTGTAAGGCAGGGCTTGGGATCGCTTTCATTTCACAGGTGAAGAGTCTAAGTTGCAGACAGGACTTCAAACTCGTTCAGCCCGATTCAGTCATAGCCAACGAAGCAACACTAGAACAGACTTGAAATTTTAAAATGTGGGTGAACCAGAACGGGACAAATTGTGGGTCAACGCCCTGCTAGAAACTTCATCTCCTTCTTAGAAAATAAGGGCAGTGTACATGTTGCACAGCAAACAGATCTCTTGATAGGCTGAGTTGAAACCAACTGTGCCCCGCTCAAAGATGGCGGCTCAGTGTGCCACTTTGAGAGTGTGTCGCTTTCCACAATCCTGGCAGTAACCCAACGCCACACATGAGGCCCCTGAACTGAAAGGCTTCTTCCAAGTCTCCCACCTCAGGGCTTGGACCTGTCATTTTTCCTGTTCTGGTTAGCACTGAAGATGACCCACATTGTCTGGTATCGGTTTTGCTTTGTTGGCCATGACTGAACTGGTTTGAGCCAGTTCAAAGTCCTGCTTTCAGAGAAGGCCACTTGTGTGGAGGTAGCCCGGCTGGGAGTTTGCTGGACTTCACAGATAGACTTTCCGTGAGGCCACACTGCCTCTTTCAGAATCAAAAAACAGTATATAAACACTAACATTTAATTTTTTTTCAACTTTCTGTAGTTGATCTACCTTCTTTCTTGTCACCTATCTCTTAGGACCTTCACTGTTGGGAGACAAAAAGCTGCCTCATTGTTAAAATTCCAGCTGGAAGGAAATCAAAGCCAGTGCCCACAGGAGGGTGCACTGATCCCTTCACTGAGGGTTCACCATGGACTGAATGACTACTTAGTTCCATAGCCAAGTGGTCATCCCCAGTTTTTGTTTACCATAATCTGAGGGAAACCAAGTAGTCAAAAAAGGCACAAAGTCCAACTTCTGCCTGTGGATGGGGAGGAGTGAAGAGGCAGAGAGAGCAAAGCCTGGATAGGAAGAAGGGGCTGAGGTTAGCAAAGGCAGCTAGCCCAGGAGTGTTCAGGAATGAAGCAACACTAGCACCTCAAAGGTTATCCTTCCCAGGCCCAGCAGGAAGCAAGAGGCCTGAAGTGAATTACTAGGGAAGAGGGCTGAAGAGCAAGCGCACCACCCCCCAAGTGGCAGCCACCAAGGCAAGCCAAAGCCTTTAAAGCATTAACATGACTTCTCCTTGCTTTATCCTCACCGGGAACCCTCTGCCCGGTTCAGAGCATCTGTTTCACTCATTCATTCACTCTTGTGAGATAGATTTCAAGGGCCATAGAGCTCACCCTTGAAACGTGTACACCTGAAGAATGTGGAATTGACAAATGTGTTCTGTTGTTAAGTGCTTTCGAGTTGGTTCTGACTCATAGCGATCCTGTATAGGGTTTCCAAGGAGTGGCTAGTGAGCTTGAACGGCCATCCTTACAGTTCAAAGTGACCTTGCAGTCCAGCGCCTTAATCATTAGCAACAACTTTGTGAATAAAACTCATTGGTTTTTCTTACATTTTTTAGTTTTATAAAATATGACTATTAAGGAGCTCTGGTAGTGTAGTGGTTACGAATCGGGCTGCGAACTGCAAGGTCAGCAGTTCAAAACTACCAGCTGTTCCACGGGAAAAAGATGAGGCTTTCTGCTCCTGTAATGATTTACAGCCTCGGAAACCCTGTACAGGGTCGCTATGAGTCAGAACTGACTCCACGGCACACAACAATTTATAACAAAACTACCGAATTTAAGAAAAACCAGTGTCCAATTCAGTGTTTTATTCACAAAGTTGTGCAAACATCACCACTGCCTGATTTCTCCATTCTTAATTCTCCTTAGTCAACATACTCCCGAGATGGGCCCTGCCACACCTCAGCTTGGAAGCGAATTGCCAGATCTGCGTCTCAGCCTCAGATGGAACCATAAGCTCTAGTAGGAGCCACCCTCTCAGCCCAGAACTAGCCTGCAGCTCTTCATCAGAGGCAGCTCTGACTTTGATCACCAGCACCTGGGAAGGGTGAGGGCGGAGACACCCATCGGTATGAGGGGTGGGACTCTGGGCTTGGCCCCTGGTCCATGGTTGGCAGAAACTTCCGCTGGGCAAGTTGGGATTAAGGAGGCAGTCATGGGAAGGGATATATTTTCTGAGGTGCCCAGATAGCAGTCACAGGTATGAAAAGGCTGAGGGGTTTTCCTGACTGCTGGTGGCGAGACCAGCTGCCAAAGGAAGCCAGTTGGATCACCACTTTTGTTAATGGCAATGCCGCCCACTAGTCTGCTCAACCAGAAAGCTGGGTGACATCCCTGGGGAATCCCTCCCTCGCTGTGTTCCTCAGTCACCAGGTCTTGCCAACCTCTCTCCTCTTGCACAGACATCAGCCTTAGGTTCCTGGACAACTGTCCAGCCTCCTACCTGATTGCCCTGCAGCCACCCTTGAATCCAGTCTCCATAGTGTGGTCAGAAATGGCTTTTAAATTGTGAACTGACCATTTGACGGCTCAGTTTGGTTTTAAACCTCCCATTGCCCTTAGAGTGCAGCCCCCAGTCTTATCCTGGCCAAGAGCTCTTTCAGTCCTGCCTCCTCCAGCACCCTCCCTCCAGGCTCGCTGCTCCAGCCTCAAGGATCCCTCAGTTCTTCCCAAGGGTCATGAGGTCCTTTTCTTTCCTCATGTCATCAGACAGGCCACCCCCATGCGCCTCTGTACGAGCTGGAAGAGAAGAATGAGGAGGAAGTGAGGCTGAGACCCAACTTTTTTATAGTGTGTGTTCCTAAAGTATTTATGGGCATATGTCCATCCTTAGCTCACAGCACACACAAAGATGAGCAATGGGCTGCCTTTGGCCTGAAAGCTATAGTCTGCTGACCTCTGATCTAGGGTCATGCAGGAAACTGGGAGTCGGTAAGTTTGATTGCAGCTCTCCTGCTTGTGTGTTCTCTGCAGGGGTCTTTTTGTGCTGGCTTAGTAAAGCTGGGTGAAAGGTAACATCAGAAATGTTAAGGGAATCCAAGGAATAGATGCTGGGGTTTTTCTCATTGCATTAAAAAAACTGTTTTCTAAAATTTTATTTTGTTGCTTTTGTTGAGAATATACATAGTAAAGCATATACCAACTCAACTGTTTCTACACGTACATTAATGACACAAATTATGTTCTTCCAATTGCGCAACTAAGGTGTGCCTGACCCAAGCCATGATATTGTCAGTAACCTCATATGCATGTGAAAGTTGGACAGTGAATCCGTAGAAGAATTGATGCATTTGAAGTTATGGTGTTTGAGGAGAATATTCAAAGTACCATGAACTGCCAAAAGAACAAAACGATCTGTATTAGAACAAGCAGAGCCAGAATGCTCCCTGGAAGCCAGGATGGCCAAACTTTTTCAGACATATTGTCAGGAGGAACCAGTCACTGGAGAAGGATATCATGTTTGGTGAAGTGGAGG